CCTACTTAGATGGATACCAAATTCAATTATCATATCTAGTTTGAATATTATAAACTTAAGAAAATTGAAGAAATAAAGATCAAACATGGTCAAGAAAAAAGATACAATAAGGATCAGATGCCTATCTTCACTATCTTTGAAGCTCACTAGCAACTGCCATAACCAAGGGGGAGAGGGCAAAAATGCTGGAGGCATGAAAGAATGCTGTGGGAGTTTGGGGAGTATAGACACTAACAGGAACTAGAGGTGCCAAAGCTGAACCATCTTCCTGCCTTCAAGGACACTGGCCCTGGGAAAGGACTTTATAGCGGTGCCTGAGGCACCAGCTTCCCAAAACATCAGAACAGCATTTAATTGGACTGTTCTCATGAAGGGGAGAGTTTTGGACAGTTGGGATTGCTTTTAATATATGATTTTCACATGGGTTTTTTCCAGAGCTCGGCTTGCTTTCTCTGCACCCAGTTCCCTAGTAAAAGTATCTTTTCTCTAACACCTATGGAGTCAAGGGTTGTTCTTTCCAAGGGGTCAAATTGAGAAACTGGAAGGCCAAAGATAATCATTGGAACAGTGATGAGAGTTTATCAAAGCATTCGTTAAAGTTTAAAAAATAAGGGGAAAGGGGGCAATTTTAGAAATACTTTAAAGATGCAATGATCAGCATTGAACTGTAGATGAATAAAAGAATCAACAAAGACTGATGAATCAAAGGTAATCCCCATGGTTATTCAACTGGGCAAAAGAACAATCTATTATTTCTAGCGGAACTGCAAGGCAAAATGAGAGAAAGATTTCCAAAAGGACAGACAAGACCTAAGTTTAATCAGTTTAACTGGTTTAGCAAAATGAGAAAAAAGTTAAGTTAAATGACAATTGGATAGATCATAATATGTTCCAGAACCAAATGACAGTGCTGTGTATCAGTTACAGAAATATAACATTAAATCCAAAGTAAAATAAAGTAGTAATAAAAGTTTAAGATTATTGGGAGGAAAAACCTAACATATAAACATGACTGTCACTATTATATAAAGAATTATACCAGAGAAAGAGTCACACACAAAGACACACACAAAGACACACAAAGACACACACACACACACACACACACAAACACATACAAATATATACCGTATTTGCCGGCGTATAAGATGACTTTTTTGCCCCGAAAAACATGCCTCCAAGTGGGGGGGTCGTCTTATACGCCGGTATATCCACTGCCGGCTTTCGGATGCTTGTTGGACGCAGCGAAGGCGCCTCTGGCTTCCTGGATCCCCTGCGTCGCTTCCGCTTCATCCCGCTCGCCTCGCTCCGCCCGAGGCTGCAGCCTTCCTGCTCTTCCCACGGCCCCTGGCACTCCGCCCTGCCGCTGCAGCCCCGGGGATTTCTGGAGGGCGTTTCTGGTGGTGGTGGGGGGTCGTCTTATACGCCGGGTCGTCTTATACGCCGGCAAATACGGGTAAGTCAGGGCTGTTAAGCATGTGGCCTGCAGACCAGATGCATCATGTGCTGGCGACACCCACACCCGGTTTAGCAAAGGGGGGGGAAGTCACGATATGTCACGTGACAACGCCATGATGACATGATTTTGACACCCTTGATATAAGTAAAGAACCTCATCGCAAAGTTACACAGAAATGTGAACATGACAAAAAGATTTAGAATACATGCACAATTGAAATACTGAGTAAACAATGACATCCTTTGCCTGTATGCATATGATACACTTTAAATGTGAATGGTTTGCACCTTTGACAACATACATATGATAAAACATGTTTTACTAATAAAAGAAGAATCCTCTCCCATAAGATAAGATTGTAATTGTTATTCTCTTGGAGTTAACTATTGCCTTCATTTATAAAGGCTTCTTTGAAATGAAAATGAGATGATATTTTTAAAATTCTAATGCAGGCTAGGGTTTTAACAGTAGTTCTGCACTCCGCAGTATCAACAGGAACATGTAAAAGGTGAACTGAACAGCACCATTCCATGTACTTTCTCTAAAAACTAGTATACATAAGTATGCTCTCTTTGATTTTAGTATAATTATAGAATTACAATAAGTTTTGGATGAAAACTGAAATGGTATTGTTAGATGACAAAATTGGAATTCCCACTAAGAAAGACAAAAGAAGGCTTCTAGAAAGATAAAGATTTTTCACAAGTATATTTCTCTGAGTCAGATCACAATGTGGCTTTTATAACACAAAAACAAAATCATGGATATAATTTTAGCTGCATAAAATGCATACAGACACACACACACACACACACACTCACAGAGTGTGTGTGTGTGTGTGTGTGTGTGTGTGAGAGAGAGAGAGAGAGAGAGAGAGAGAGAGAGAGAGAGAGAGAGAGAGAGAGAGATTAAAATAGTGTGACAGTGTATTGCTAATGTTTGGCTGTCACCTTCTTCTTTGGCTATAATATAGAATTCCTCCTTATGGTTATAAAAATATGTTATATTCCAGAATTTCCATCGTCAAAATGGCATTGTGATCAAGGATGACTAAACCAATGAATCCTAGACCTGAATAAATGAGCTCTTTTATTGATGAAAGCAAGGGCCTTGAAATAAATAGGAGAAACAAAATGAGCAAGCATTTGGAAGAGATGGGTAAACAGGATCAACTCTCTTCATACTCTACATAAATGACCTCTGCGATCATATTAAGAGCAACTGTGTACTCTTCGCTGATGATGTAAAGCTGTTCAATACCACATACAATACTGCTACCTTCCAAAAAGACCTTGACTATGTATCAGAATGGTCAATCAAATGGCAACTTCAAATCTCAAAAAATAAATGCTCTGTCTTACACATTGGCAAAAAAAATCAGAAAATAAAATACAAGCTGAATAGTCAAGACCTTGTTGATGATCCAAGCTCTGTAAAGGACGTTGGAATACTCATCTCTAATGATCTAAGTGCTAGAGCCCACTTTAACTAAATTGCCAAAAAGTCATTAAGAGTTGTTAACCTAATCCTATGTAGCTTTTTCTCTGGTAATATCACACTACTAACTAGAGCATACAAAACATTTGCTAGACCAATACTCGAATTCAGCTCATCAGTCCGGAACCCACATTACGTATCTGATATTAGCACAGTTGAGAAAGTCCAGAAGTATTTCACAAGAAGAGTTCTCCACTCCTCTACTCGTTGTAGAATACCTTATGCCACCAGACTTGAAATTCTAGACCTAGAAAACCTTGAATTACGCCGTCTTTTGTCTGATCTAAGTATGGTATATAAAATCATACATTGCAATGACTTACCTGTCAATGAATACTTCAGCTTCAACCATAACAACACAAGAGCACACAATAGATACAAACTCAAGGTTAACCGCACCAAACTTGATTGCAGGAAATACGACTTCAGCAACAGAGTGATCAATGTCTGGAATACTCTACCTGACTCTGTGGTTTCTTTCCCAAACCCCAAAAACTTTAACCTTAGACTATCTACTATTGACCTCACCCCTTTCCTAAGAGGTCTGTAGGGGGCGTGCATAAGCGCACCAACGTGCCTACCGTCCCTGTCCTATTGTTTCTTTTATTTTTCTTATATGTACCCATTTCATGTATTCATAAC